GTGACTGCCAGGTGGGGAGGCCTCACCCCAAGCTTCTTGTTTTCTTTCCCCACCCAGGGCAGTCCTTCTACTCCCGGGTGCTGGAGAACCGTGAAGATGTGGCTGACTTCGACGAGGTAGGATGCCCCGGGGAGCAACTCAAGCCCCAACCGAGGAGCCCACTGGCCCCGCATTCCCTTCCACCCAGAGCCTTCTCAGGGACTTCCGCGGGGAGACACGGTGGGAGAGATTCCCCCGAAAGGTTCTTTTGAACCTCAGGCTTAGAGAGTCGAGTAAATCATGTGCCCCTGCTTATGGTGCATTATCTCAGTGTTCCTACAACCGTGCTCTGGTTTTGATGTATGTTTGCATGTATCGTGGATGTGTCATTCTCTTTTATCCCCATATTCCTTCCCTCCATCTACAACCATAGTAATGTGCTTAACGTGCATCTTTTGGTTTCTTGTGTGTTCTGACACAAATTTTTGAGTACGTAATTTTGTTTCCTTAAATGGCATTGTTAAAGTAAAGTGTTACTTAAATAGATTTTACTTTACTTCACTGTGTAAGATTCTTGAGTTCCATCCACATTGCCTCACTAATCTGTTGCTTCTACCTGCTGCTCAGTACTCTATGGGCCCATCCAACACATATCAGGGTGTTCCTCCAGCCTGGTTCGTCTAGAACCCAGGGGGTTCCTGGGACACAGACTCTAAGTGATAAAATGGGGAAAATCCTGGTCCCACTAGGATGAGTTGGTCATCCTGCACATCCTTTGCCTACTTACTCCTCCAGAAAAGAACCTCCAGCTTGCCTCCAACCAACCCCCATCCCCACCATCAGAAATGCAATGACTATTCTTATGCCTTTCCCCTTTGGACTTGTGTGAACATTTCTCTGGAATATACAGCAGGACATGGAATTGCTGGCTCACAGGGGTATGCATACCCTTCGGCTTACCCAGCACTGCCATGGTCTACACTTCTACCAGCAGTGCATGAGGATCCCTGATTCCCACATCCTCATCTACACCTAGTGTTATTCAGCTTTCTGATCTTCATCAGTCCAACAGTGGTGTCTCACTGTTGTTTTAATAAGACATTTAAAGTTTCCTCTTTTGTAAATTGCCTGTTCATAGCCGTTGCCCTTTTTCTCTGTTGGTATAGCTGTCTTTTCTTTTTCTTACTGATTTGCAGTGGTTCTTTGTATGTCCAAGATATCAACCCCGTGTTGGATTTAGAGACTAAACATTTCTCTCAGCCTGCCACCTACTAACTTTGCCCCCTCATTGACTAGAAGTCCTTAATCCTGGTGTGTTTTCAAGTTTTGTTGAAGATGTCTTTCCAGTCTTCTAGGTTACAGATATATTTCCCTACATTTTCTGATTCTATGTATGTGGAATCTTTTACCTTGTGTGTGGTTTTAGAGAGGGATCATTTTATTTTTCTCCATATAAGAAGCCACTTTTCATGACATCAACTTGCTAAGCAATTATATTCTCTCCATTTATTGTATGTTAAGGTCTGTGTCTCAGCCTACTAATCTATCCCTTTAATCTGTTTGTCTGTTTTTGAACTTTCCCACACTGTGTCCATTAATATGGCATTTTTGTATGTCTTAGTATCTAATGAGGCAAGTACTCTCAAGGGAACTATTCTTTTTCAAGGTTGAACTATTTGTGGACCTTTATTCTTCCAGATCATTTTAAAGCAAGTTTATGAAATCCTTCCAAAACCCAACTGGAATTTGGATTAAATTTGCAAATTAACTTAGGAAGATATTGACTTTATAATATTAAATCATCTATTCAAAGATTTTTATACTATTAAATCATCTATTCAAATTATCCACCGTGTTTACTAGCATTTTTAGGTTTTCTGCATAGGAGTCATATAATCTTGATTATTTTCTAGATGCTTCCTGGTTTTGTTGTTATCACGAATGGTGTCTTACTTTTACTACATTTTTTAGTTGGTTATTACTGGCCTAGAGAAGGCTTTCCTCTCCTTTAGAAGTCCTGCTTTCATCTAAGTCTGGATGGTTTGGGGAGGGGGCTCTTCGGCCCCCTTTTCAATTTCTCTGTGTCTTCTTGTACCAGTTTTGGATTTCTATATTTTTCCAGACCTTTTGACGTTTCATCTAGGTTTTCAAATTTACTAGTACCTATTTGCAGGTAAAGTTTTAAAATTGTTTTAAAATCTTTTTTGTGCTCATGGTTATTTCCCCTTTTGTATTCCATACTGAATTTATTTGTGTCTTCGTTCTGTTTTTCTTGACCTTGCTAAAGATCCGTTTATCTTATTAATCTTTGTTAAGAACCAGCTTTTGGATCATTAATCTCTTCTGTTGTTCTCCATTTCATTGATTTCTGTCCTCTTAAATTATTTCTCTCCTCCTTGTTTATTTTGTTTTCCTCTGTGCCTCTTTTTGTAACTTCCTGAGCTGGGTGCTAAGCCTGTTATGTTTAACTTTTCTTATTTCTTGATAAACATGTTTAAAGATATAAAGTGTGCTCTATATACAGTTTTTTTAAGTTTATTTATTTATTTTGAGAGGGAGAGAGAGCATGCGTGGGGAGGGATGGAGAGACAGGGAGAGAAAGAATCCCTAGCAGGGTCTGAAATGTCAGTGCAGAGCCTGAAGCAGGGCTCAATCTTATAAACTGCAAGATCATTACCTGAGCCGAAGTCAAGAGTCAGACGTTCAACTGGCTGAACCACTCAGGAGCCCCTATACACAGTTTTAACCACATCCTACAAAATTTTATATGTAGTATTTTCATATCTTCAGCTTTAAACATTTTTTATACTCCTTTATGCTTTTCTTTTATTTTTTATTTAGTAAAAATTTTTTTTTAATGTTTATTTATTTTTTGATAGAGACAGAGCACGAGCAGGGGAGGGGCAGACAGAGAGGGAGACACAGAATCCGAAGCAAGCCCCAGGCTCTGAGCTGTTAGCACAGAGCTCAATGTGGGGCTTGAACTCACAAACCGCGAGATCATGACCTGGGCTGAAGTCGGGCACTCAACCGACTGAGTCACCCAAACGACCCATAATTTTCTTTTAAATCCAAGAGTTAACTCAATAAGAATATGTTATTTACTTTCCAAATACATATGATGTTTTAGCTGCTTATTTTTTTATTTCTACTTTTATTTCGTGATGGTCAAAAGCAGTCTGTATGATATTGATCCTTTGGAATTTATTGAGACCACAGTGATGGCCTCTATTCATGGTCATAAATGGTCCCTCTGCCTACAAGGAATGTGTTCAGTGCAGGATTCTCTAGAGACAGCAATGTCACTTCAAGCTTGTATGATGTAAGTTCAGTCTTCATATTTATACTATTCGGTTCTTCACATATTCTGCTTTATTTTTCTCTACTTGATCTATCAGTTTCAAAAATGATTGCAATGAAATCCACTTTTACAATTGTTGATTTGTGTGTTTCTTCCTGTGGCTGTCAGTTGTTCCTTGATGTGCTATGAAACTGTATTACTAGTAAGTTCTATACGTTCGTGATGGCTATGTCTAGTTGCTTATTTTTCTTTTTACTGGTATTTAATATCCTTCTTTGTCTCTGACAGTGTTTTTTCCATTACTATTTTATCAGATGTTAAGATTACTATCTCAGCTAATTTTGGTTCACTTGCCTGGTGTATCTTTTTTAATTCTTTTATTTTCTTGGTATATCTTTGTTCATGTTTCCATTTTCAACATTTCTATGCTTTTAAATTCAAGTGTGTCTTTTTAGGGCTTGCATTATTAGATTAATTTTTCTCACCCAATATGAGAATCTCGTGCTTTGATTAGCTTTTTTCATTTACATCTATTGTAATTGCTATTACTGTAATCGCTATTTTTATTTCTACTATCATTTTATTTTATATTTTCCATTTACTGAACTTTTTGTTTGTTGTTTTGTTTTCTCCTTTCCAGCTTTCCATTGGCTAGATCAGGTTTTCTTTTGTGAGGTGAAAAGTTATACCTTCTATGTTTGTTTCCCAGGCAGTCACCATTCCTTAGTCATGTTTATGTATCTCTGTCCATGGTTGAAAAACAAATCGGTAATTATAGCTCCCCCTATCATGACAAGTATTGTAATACTCTCCTATGTCTCTTTGATTTCCCTTCCTCAGCCCACACAGTCTGGATTATACATTTTTTAGAGAGTGAGAGAGAGAGCGTGCAAGTGGGGGAGACAGGCAGAGGGAGACAGAGAGAGAAAGAGAGAGAATCTCAAGCAGGCTTCATGCTCAGTATGGAGCCCACCCCGGGGCTCGATCCCACGACCCTGCCATCATGACCCAAACTGGAACCAAGAGTCAGAAGCCCAATGGACTGAGCCACCCAAATGCCCCTAAATTATACAGTTTTCATTCTAGGTTCTTATGAATGTGTCTTCTCCTTTTATTTGTCCAAGCCTTCTTTTTCTTTTTGAGGACAGTAGTAGTCTTTTTACCAAGATATCTGATCACTTTTACTTCTCCTATCTCTTGAAGCCTCTCTTGGCATTGATTTTCTTCTTATTTGAGTACTTCCCCTAAAAGCGGTTTCAAATTGGGTCTTTGTGTAGCAAACCTTCTAAAGCTTTGTAAATCTGAGGACAGTTTCGTATTCAGATCTCAATGAGACTTTCACTAGATACAAAATTCGAGGCTCAAAATTCTTTCCTTTACAACTTCAAAAACATCAGTGCCTGTTACTGTTGAGAAGTCTGATGGCCATCTGGCTCTTGTACCTTTGTGCGGGATCTTTTCTTTCTCTCTGGAAAAGAAAGTATAATTCTATCTTTGATATTCTCAAATTGTATTATAATGTGTCCAACTGCAGGGTTTCTTATCTTTCCTGTTTTGCACTATTTTGTGAGCTCTTTTCAAATCCAAGGCTTTTCATCTTTCACTTATTATAGAAAATTCTGTCTCCATTATTCTTTTTCAAATATTCCTTCCATTCAGTTTTTATATTGTTCTCTCCTCTGCAACTCCTTATTATCAGATGCCACCACTTGAACATCTAGCTGCCATTTCTTAGCTTTTATGGGTTTTTTTGTCTACCAGTCTTTTGCTGCTGTTTTCTGAGAGAGTTCTTCAAAATGATCTTCCAATTTACTAATTTGTTCTTTTTTTCTTATG